TTCGTTCATCTCACGTATGAAGACATCTTCAATGTGCTAATGATGCACAATCTTTCATGGGGACAAGTCCGTTGAAGACTCCATCCCATATTCACCCCGAACGGATCCCCTTCTATTCAAAGCTCTCGTCAGTCTTCATGCGAGGGTTGAGCACACTGGAGCTCCGTATCAATAATTCAGCTTTCCATCTGGTCGCAACGCGTAATGCGCCAGCTCGTCAGCACAAATACTGTCGATTAAAGCCCTCGCGCTAAGTAGCGGTTGGGACACCAACGACGTCTCAGATCTGCGTTAGAAAGAGATTCAGCAGTCTATGGATGATGACGAATACACAGGATTCATGGTCACCTGCTGAAAGGTCGTTTACATTTGCCGTCCATTAGAATTATTATAATGCAGGATGGTAGGACTAATACTAATCACTAGTGCTGCCATCAGTGAATGAAGGCCGAATGGCGGCGAGAACTGATGTATTTTTATGGAAAAGAAGGTGCCCGCATTCTCAATGAACTAAACGATGTCTCACTGAACCGAAGTAGGAGTGGACTGGCTTCGCACTCCTTGAAACCATGTAGTCTTTCTTCCAGCCGCCGGGAGCACCGATCCAATCCATGATCGAACCAGTCACTGAAGAGGTTGTGGTCCAAAGAAGCCAGCGTACCACGGAAGAAAGGGAACTCAGAGGCATGTTAGTGAGGGAAGATGGGGGTCGGTATTATGTCAGAGGAACGTGATGAGAACAAGCCTTGTGGTCGACCCAGAGGTAAGGTGCCAAGTAGAGATGGAACACGATACAAAATCAAAAATACAACCGATGACACAAACGAGCCAGAGCACGATGCTGATGTGTGAACATCGCAGCATCAGGGTTGAAGTCTGCCAAAATAAATCGTTAAACAAATATCTTTCTGACTCCAGGCAATAAAATTCAATCTCGTATACAGATCCCAATCAAGGTTGTGATCAACTTGGACTCAGAAAATGATTGGTGGCCACACTTGTGAATGATGATAATCCAAAGGCCAGTTGCAAATAGACCCGTTTAAAAGGTGTACACCACCCAGGCAGAGAAATGCAGAATAGAAAAAAGCACGAGGGAGAGAAACATGTTCGAGAGATCTTCCGAAGAAGGTGTTGAGATAAGGTGCGGACTTGTAGAAATACTTACGGGATGGCACTCAACAGATCATTGATAGCGAGGTCGTATAGAACGCAAATGCTCTGTTTCACGGTTGTGATGTTGTTCACAGATCCAGTTGAGATGCTGGTAGCAAAAGAATGCTGCCTTTGATGAGATTCTCTTGCCGAATCTTCGCTGCATTGACTATTCTCCTAGTTATGTGACGAGATTGAGTTGAGAAACGAAGATCTGGACGGAGAATGGGCTGTGTAGGAAAACAAACTATATCATCCATGCTAGCCGTCGTCTTGATTAATCTTAGAGTGTTCCTCTTGCAGCAGTTGGCATTGTCGAGTTCGATACGTTGCACGAGTCTCATGACGAGGAAACAAGATTGATATACGTGGTTGCCAAATGATATGAAGAGATGAGTACAGAAGAACTAGAAGCAAATATAAAATGGTTCTGTACCTGTATTATCGGCGTGTGGGGCAGTTGCACGGCAGAAAAGATAGCGAGATGAGGTGGCCATAGAAGGGGCCGTAGCTACGCGCTTGCTGCACTTGGCGCGGTAGGACTAGTCGCAGGAGGACTAGTTGCAGGAGCAGGCGTCGCAGATGTCGAGGCGGCAGTAGACCGAGTCTGTAATGATAACACTTGGGGCTGGGCTTGATCTGTTGATTGACCTTGCTGCTGCTGCGTTGGTTGTGCATTGGGATCGGCGTGTTGAGGAGATGCGCAGCAGAGAAAAAGCACAAGATGACCCAACAATCGGACGGGTAGTGAATGCGCATATCTTGGATGTGGTGTAGTAGAGTTAGCACCTGGAGGAGGCTGTGTCGTAGATGACCCCTGGGCGTGCGATTGGGTTTGCTGCTGTGTTTTTTCTGGCGGCGGCGGGGCAGTGAATATGACCTGGACAGAAATCATTGAACCACGACGATAGGAAATACGCACGAAGAAATACATACTTCTCTGTCTTTCACTGCAGCCACTTCGACGATACGAGGCCCACGAGACAATAAGGCTCGCCTTGGGCGTTGCTGGGGTTCAGTATTGGATCGAGAGTGGCGGAAAGGTGACGAAAGGCGACCGAAGAGCGTATTGACACTCCCAAAATAAGATGCGAGAGGGCGAGGACGGCTGGAAGAGGAAGTATGATAGTTAGCATACGTTCCGGAGAACTGAGATCAAGAGGTCAGCACAAAAGCCTTTCAAAAACGCTGATGACGCACATTAGCACCATCTACGGCACCTCCAAAAAAATCTGCCAAAAGTTCACCATCCACGGCTTGCGTGGCATCCGCCTAAATAGAATATCTAGGTTACAATGACTGGGAAGGTTGAGAAACAAATCACGTACATCCATCGATGACTCTTGAGCTGTAACCTGCGAATGTGATATTAGCGCAGTTTTGACAAAAGAGCCATAAGCTTTACATCAGATGAAGGCCGAAGGAGGTCTTCAAGGCCAGCTTCTTTGAGGATGGCTTGAATGTCCCACACGTACGCGCATCCGTTTTTGCAACCAGTGACTAGCTTTTCATCAGCGGAAAGGGCTGCGCACTTTACGTCATCTGCGTGCTGCAGGAGTGGTCCGACTGGAAGGTTTGTGTCCAGATTCCATAGACGCACTGTTTGGTAACCTGATGCACATAGTAGAAGGCTGTCGTTCTGAGACAAGATGATGACCTCCACGGCGGAGTGTCCTTCCTGATGCAGATGGGCGATCTCCTGCAAAGTGGTTGGATCATATATTATAATTTGGCCATATGAACCGGAGATAAGTTTCTTTCCGTCCGACGTCCAGGCCAAGCTGAGGACTATGAGGTCATGTTTGAGCGTGTTAAGCAGCTTGCCCGTCTTGGCATCCCAGATTTGTATTGCATCCTTGTCTCCACCGGTTGCAATTTTCGCTGCATCGGGTGAGTATATCACCGCCCACACCCACAAGTGCCCGGTTTCGATTGTCAGGACAGTTTGGCTGCTCTCGACATCCCAGACTCTTGCTGTCCCATCCCAGGATCCGCTCAGCACTCGTTTACCATTTCCACTCCAGCACAATGCACACACAGCACTGATATGTCCTGACCATTTGTCAATAACCTTCCTCGTCTCGACATCCCATAACCTCACTTTCCCGTCACCGCATCCACTTGCAATTGTCTTGCTATTTGGAGACAATGCCATGGAATGCACTCCTGCCTCATCCTCTTCATCTCGCCAGTCCTCTCCTATCTGTGTGCAACTCTCTAGTAGGTCCCATAGTCGCAGTGAGCCATCCGTTGAGCATGTGATGATCTGTCGTCGGGCGTGCAAATGTACAACACCATTTACCCAGTCGACATGACCTCGTAATGTCTGACGTGGCATGATCTTTTGTACCTCAGTACCAGCGATGGATTGTATCTCGGTACTAGCGATGGATTGCGTCTCGGTACTAGCGATGGACTGCGTCTCGGTACCAGCAATGGATTGCGTCTCAGTGCTCTCAGTGCTAAAGGAAGACATGGTGGCCCAGGATTTTAGCGCTCCGCTACAGGTAGATTGTAGCCTGATATGTGCAAAAGAAACCTGCTGAGGTCTTGAATTATCGGGCAACAGTATGGTTCCTGATGAGTCGGCGAGCCTGTTTCATTGTTGTCATTACGAGTACACGGGCATTGCTCATGAGACAGCCTAACAGGAATCCGATCCTCACCTACAAGACAGCTTCGGTACAATACATGCACGTGCTGCGCCGGTATCCGAAAACGCAAAAGATCCTTGTGGGAATCCGAGTCCAAAGTCGCCTTATGAACCACACCGTTTGAACGAACCCTCGATCACCAGCAATTACAGGGCGTCCGGTTGGGAGTTGAAGAAGATGGACAGTCGTTCGTTTAAGCGTCTTTTAAGGTTCGTCCCATGCTTCATCTCATGTTCGCTTCACAGCTTATTGCTGTATAAATCAGGCGCTCAGGTCTGCAACCGGTGCTACATCCATCTTCCTATACGTTAGGAAGACTTAAAGGACTACACCGACAGAGGTTGTGGCACACATTCGACAATATTGTGCTGCACTCCCTTCCCACACTGTGCGTCTCATCCGGATCCGGTCCGTTTGAGGACATCCAGGAAATGGACACTCTGGGGCCAAAATCTGCGGCGAATCCCTGACATTCTGGTCCGTTTTGAACTCGATGCCATCAACTCTTCAGCACGTTTACGGGTGATAGGGCAGCGCCTATGATCCATCGAATTCACCCTTTTTTGTGGAAATGGTATTCTTTGGACAAGAGCCGTGAGTTCAGGTGTTTTATTTGCAAAGGCCATCTCATATGTACTTATCAACTCTCCGATCCTTGCTCATACAAGACGACAACGACGATGCTTAGCTATGCAAGAATAGAACACCGCGGCACGAATTCTTGCGACTTCATGGATGAGCCCGAAACACAAAACGGGATCCAAGAGACGTTTCAGCATTGTTGGAAGGAAAATATCGAGTCCAAATGACACAGACAACAAGACTTGTATGTATCCCATTGTCTTCGTTGTAGTTCCTGCGCTCATCTCACATATGAAGATATTTTTGATTTGTTGATGATGCGTGATCTTTTTTGGGGATACGTCCTCGATTTCGACCCATATGAACGGACTGCCCGCTATGCACGTACGATCCGCTCTTGGCAGTCTTCACGCGTGGATTTAGCTCACCGAAGCCCTGTATGATGGACTCGCCTTTGCATACAGCTGTAACACGCAGTTTATGCAACAGCTCACCGACACAACATGTTACCAATCGAAGCCCTCAAGGCCTCACGCTGAGTAGTGGTTGGGACATCAACGACTTCTTAGATTTATGGAAGGAGATTCAGCAGTCCAAGAATGAAGACGATCAGGACACATGACTATCTTCTGAAAGGTCGTATTTTGTCATCCTAGTAGAATGATCATAATGCAAGATCGTAAGACTCTAATAGTCACACAGACCACCATCTATGTGATGAATATGAACGTTCGGAATAACCAAGTGGACAATCTACAAGTGTCTCAGAATGCACGATTATGTTTCTATATCTTGTCAACCTCGATACCAGAGCCACTGGCGCTACCATCAGTGAACGTAGGGCGAGTAGCGGCGAGACCGGGAATATTATTTCAGAGACGAAAGTTGCCCTCATCCTCGACGAACCTCCGAATCTCAGGACTATACCGAACCGAAGTAGGAGTATACTGATCTTTCGAGGCGCTTGCCAAGAGTATCAGAAGCTTCCTAAGTGTTGTAGGGAGAGATCTTACTGGAGACACGATGAGGGATGTGGGTCTTGGATATACAGAGCATCAGAAGGATGTCAATCATTGTAATGAGGGATCCGGTTGGATAATGTCGATGATGGACGTAGGTTGCCGTGACAGTATGACCACCGATCCAGCCCATGATCGAGCCAACCAGCGAAGAGGTTGCAGCCCAGAGCAGCCAGAGCACCACAAGGAAAGTGAGCATGGTGGTAAGGAGTATGAGGTCGCGTAGCCGCATCCAACCATCTCCTCTCCTGCGTACTGACATCATATGTGATCCTATAATGTAAGCACCGTGCACATACAGCAGTAGCGTAGTCAGTACTCAATAGCCATACAGAACAGCCCATGCGTCACACATCCTGGTGCATGAGATCTAGAGTTAATAACCTTGGCTTGCACATAGTTGATCGAAAAGTGAAGCGAAGACAGTGAGCGGTTTGAAAAAGAGTGGAAGCTATTAGCTAAGCCATCAAAACCTGTGTCAATTTGAATTAGGGCTTGATTAGGGCTGTATGTTTGCTGTATGTAGTCACAAGCTGTCAGCTTTACTGAAGTCACTGAGCCGAACGCTCATTCTCCTAGTACCCATTCAAGACTACTTATTGTTTCTACCTTCTCGTCCACTACTACCCAACAAAGTTCCCTAGTTTCTGTACTTGGCTCGACTTATTCTCTACAATGATCGTGCATGGACGATACATTCGTATGTTCATCTCCTGGTTGAGGCGCATTCTCAAGACGGCCGCATTTCACACGCACAAGAGTCTTCTCTATGTCCTGCTGCGACTGATTCGACACTCTCGATCTGTCTTCAATCGAAAGGAGGGGGATTTTCAACAACGGTTCGGTTTAGCATTGAGCTCTCAGCCAGTGATCAACCAAGACGAGACGCCTTCGGTGACCCTCGCTGTGCCATTGTTCAAACCTCTACAAAGCCAAGGGTGCCAACCTGGAATGAGCCTTCAGTTACCAACCGGCGGCGAGCTTAATGCAAGGCCTAATAACGTAGCTTATAATGCACAGTTCACCGGGATGTCTGCTGCGCCGTTGATACTTTCTATGCCTGAGCCCAGCGTTTGCAACCTTGTGGGTGTGGGGACACCACTTCCTGCGGCTCCAGGACATGTTACCACTTTAGTTCCCATTGTACCCGGACCACAGGTCAGGCGATACGACAGGCATATTCCAGTGTAGGCAAAATGTATTTTAAGTGAGTTGCCATTCTAATCCATGGTCACAGTAAAAATGTGTATAAAGCTTTCAAGGTTGAGAAAGGTCCCTTCAACTGTTCCGAGTAAGCATGCTAGCGAGAGAGCTAGTGATGTGATTGAAATGGACCTGTAGGATGCCTGCCACTGCAGAAGGATGGGAGCCACTCACACACCCAGAAGGGGCTTTGTTCTTCTATTATCCGAAACAAGTACGTTTACCGCTTACTCCTACAAGGTTTAAAGCACTCATACCGCGCACAAGAGAGCTTTCACTGATGCCGATGTTCGAGACCCTGAAATTGCTACCAAAATAGGTGAAGCCGTCAAGAAGGCGTACAGAGAAATGGACGAAGCAAATATCACCATAGATCCACTCGTCGAGCTAGTATTGGAGCTTATCAAGACTGATGACGGAGAAATGTGGGGCTACTACTTCGCCGATCACAAAAAATGCATCATCTTCTGGTTCGAAGACCATATATCTGATCCCCTTATGAACAAAATTCGAGGTGTAGAGTGTAGAAGCCATGTCAGTAAGTTCTTTTCGTAGATTACTTTCTATTCGAGCTGTTGTAATTGCGTCGTTCCAGGGTATGCACTAGAATCGCAGTACTGGTTCGCACGATTCTTAGCAGTATGCCCATTCCCTCATGATCCAAGCACATGGGCTCACACATTTTTACAGTCCTTTACCTCCCACAATTGACATATGATGATATTGACAGGAGACACGTCGAACTATTTCCAAACAAACGTTTTCTCCCGGAAGATGTTGTCGTAAAACTCAAAGAAATTGTCATGTTCGCTCAGGCAGGTAAGAAAATAACGACGAGTTTTCATGTCCTCCACGATTGAGTTGCGACAGAAAATACTACTTCTGAAACATGCCTAGCACCTTTTGCTTCAGATGAGGTTACTAATATGCTCGACCTTGTGGATTCGCTCATGGGTGAATGATTCGCTGATGTGGGGAATCGTTGTTGATTGTTTTTCCAGACAGCGCTAACAAAGAGCGTGAGCTCTCTGTGTGGATTGTCGGTAAGTCTTATCACGAAGGTCGGCTGATTACTTCTGATATGTTTGCCGATTTCAGCTCGATTCACAAGAATTTTCTGTGAGCTCGGGTCAGTAGTCTACGCAGCCCATTTTCTAACCACTTTTCCAGGCAATGCCAAGTTTGTGAATTTTTGTGGACAACTAGGCGCCCGACTTGGTGTAGACCAATCGTTATATGAAAAACCCAATGTCCGCTCGAAAGGGATCCTTCGCGTCATGAATGTCTTTCTGTTTGGATCATTTGATGCTCAGAGCAAGGGTATTCATAAGATATGGGTCGATGAAACCATCGTTCATCCGCGGTGGAAGAACTTTATTGATAGGCTTACCGCTGAATGGAATGGATATACAATATATGTGAGTTGTACTTTGTTCCATATTGTCATGCAAACAATGACCATCTCAGTCCACTGTGATGCTTGCTGTCGATATCAGCCTTCTTACGGTCCAATCTGTCCAGACTCAGATGGCCGCAACCCTTCTAACATATCTGTCTACACTCTGCGTCATGGGCTCGTTGGTGGTCTCGCTGGTCTTGGCTGGACAAGTTAATGACAGCCGACGAAGCTCTGCTGAAGAGGTGGTACGTCTACTTTCTATTTTATGACTTGTATTGCCCATGTCCACAGGCCTCTTTCATGTCAGGCATGTCGCGCTCTATGCTTGGCCTCGAGAGCCTTGCCCTCATGCTGAGTCTGCCATTTGCACTTTTGATTTGGGCGTGCGTTTCCAGTTATATTCCATAGGTTGTTGGCTCATTCTTCGACAGAATGGTGTTCTTTGCTGCAGCATTGTCTGTCCTGATTTTCCGCACTGCTGACGTTGTCGTCGTCTCGACTGCATCCCCAGTTTGGTTCGCTATGTTTTGCCTAGCGATGTGGCTCATACTGGCAGCCAATAATTTTCATATCTCTCACTATATATCTCACTGCATCTCTCACGTTTCTCACCTGAGGTCCTGGATCATAGGACGAGTGTCACAGGTTACCGACTTCTCTACTAATGTCTAGTCTAGGTAGACTGATTGCAGGGATAATTCTGTCTCAAGAGCAGAAAATAACGAGGCTATTTGGCGTCCGACGTCCATCGACGGCTTGCCTCAGTATGGAGTCCACTGTAGTATATCTGTTCCTCGATATTTCAATGGTTTTGAATGGAAGTACGGTACCTAAAAAACTGTCTCATCTTCACATCGTATCAAGATCTCTTTGTCCCCGCTAGTCCATTCAAAGAGAGCTCTCGCTCCACCAACATCGATGAGACAACCAAACTTCAGTAATGCCCAAAGCGGTCTACTTTCTCTCATCACGGCCCTCAGTTCTTGAAGTGCGACAGACAGGTATATTCTTCAAGTACACTTTCGACCAGTGATTCCTGTGCGGTCGTCGTTTGTTGCTCAGCAGCCTGAAAGAGATCATGCCAGGCCGAGTTTGAACCTTCTTATTCTCGTAGGTTGAAATATATCCCATGTTTGTATAATAGATATAAGAATTGGCGAAATGAACCGGGTCATCTAGGTGGTCTGGAAGTACTCGTGGTGTACGACGAAGAGAGTTTTCCTTCTTACCGTGTGCTCGCTGCGTGCGATGGCAATTAATAATGGGAGTTTGATTTGTTGGGTTGGGCATCATTCATAAAGCCGCCTGGTGGCTTCAAATGTGAAAGAGATGGCTGTTGCTGCACGCTTACGACTTGGCATATATAACAGATGGGATGCAGAGAACTCGCTTATAGTAGTTCGCCTTGATAATCATCATAAGCTTTCTATAAGAGCTCTGCAGGGTTGCAAGATAAAAGTCAAGGTGTACACCGAGAACCCCATCGGATACTCGAGATGGAAGCAACAAGCTAATGATGCCATCAGTGCAGTTTTTCGTGATGCGATCGCAGCACCAGTATGAACGCCTCAGAAAAGAGCAATAAATGTGTGCAATTATATCAAAAATGCGACATCGTACGAGCAGTCACCTGGGGTATTCTAAGACAACTTTGCAATATCAGCCGATATCCGATCTTTGGGAAATCCCGTTCCCTGTCCAGAATAAGAGAGGGTGGCATACGTGCCCTTTGTCAAATATGACGGATTGATGACGACCGAATTGTCCACGACCTGCAGCAGATGTTGAAGAGACGACGGGGTAGTATTGAGGAAATGGATTCACCTTTGAAAAATGTTTCAACCGACTGGGTAGTACCATCACGTCAGGACCTGGATCCTCAGGACTTTCGGCGACTCTTAACTCTGCGGAATGCGATACGTCAAGATTGACTTCGTGTGCAACGTCTAAGGAAACAGGGAATATCGGATAAAAGCTATGCAAATCGTTGGATGTAAGTTGCTGCAAGTTGAAATATTACAAAAGTGTCACCTTCTCTGCTGCAAAACATATCTGCTGAGATTCGACATGGGGTCGCTAGCAGCCTCCGGTTCGCATACGATAGAATCTACTTCTTGTCCACGTCTAAAGTATTCCTCCTTCCGCAGGTGATACAACACATCCACGCTGCATACAGCGAAAGAAATCTCGTTTAGTAAAAAGCGCGCAGGATTAGGAAGGAGCCGTATGCGCTGAAATCAATACGTCATTAGCTCGAGAGCAAGAGAATAGCGCTCGAAAAACCCACCGGATCACCACGAAACTCGTCATCAAGCTCGCATTGAGGAAAAACTGCGTGGTCGCTAATGATGTCATTCACGCTTGGTACGAGAAGGACTGTGCTTGTTGGTGATTGAGAAAGGAAATCGCGGAGGGGGGCGATAAATTGGTGTTTGAAAATGTCCGATGGCGTCTCGTCAACCATGCCGTTCTGTATGTCGGCATGTGTAGCGTCTACGAATGGCCCGAGCTGGTTGGATGAGATTCAAATATTGAATTGAATAATGAGTGTGCGTACGAGTAAGACGACGGCAGGTTTTGATGTCTTGAGGTTGCTGATAAGAGTTCTCCACGGTTTGTAGTCGAGGTTAGCATCTGGAGTGAATGGCCCGCATGCTATGCACATATCGAAACTTGCTGCCACGTTACTCGGTGGAGCAGGAGACGCTGGCATCGGGGGTATCTACGCGAAGTGTGTTTTCTATCTCAACAAGAAAACCAGAGACTCGAAATACTCACAGCTAGAATCTCAGACGCAATGAAATAACCTCCACCACCGTTGCGCCCTTTGAGTGCTACTACCGCACCGGGAAA